TCTTGGCTTTCCTTCCTGTTCTGCTCTGAAATCACTGCAGCAATCTGCCCTTTCATCTGGAAGGGATGGGTTTGCTGGGAGAAGAAAACTCTGTGCTGGAAACGGAGGATGAAGCAGGAGACCCTAATCCCTAAAACCTGGGATTATGCTACCTTAAATGGCAAAGGGACTTTGCAGATGTGATTAAATTAAGGATCTTGAGATGGGAAGATTATCTGGGATTATCCAGGTGAGCCCAATTAACCACAAGGATCCTTTTAAGAGGGAGACAGCAGGGTCCAAGTTAGAGAAGGGGATGTGACATCCGAAGTTGTGATCAGAATAATGTGGTCAATGAGTCAAAGAATGCAGGTGGCCTCTAGAAGTGGGGAATGGCAAGGAATGGAGTCTCCTCTAAAGGCTCCAGAATGACCTCCTTACTGATTTTAGACCTCTGACATCCAGAACTGTTAAATTAATGTTGCTTTAAGACACTAAATTTGTGGAAATCTGTACAGCAGCAAGAGGAGACTAATATAAGCTATAGCCATGATTGTAAATGCCTTAGAATCAATCAAGGAAGCACTCACCCATAGCAGAAGGTAAGTAGCAGGTGACAAGGGAAACATCTAGGGAGAAGCAGGAAGCTCTGGAGGAGTGTGGGGAGAAGTAGAGTCCCCTGGAGAACAGGGCCTGGGCTCTGAGTTTGAGGTAGGCTGAATTCTCATCAGATGATTCACATTAGCTATTTCTGTGTTGCATGTTGGTCAAGGGCCTGACTTGGGGATGAAGGTCCAAAAGCATGGACTAAAGGGACTAAAGGCTAAAGGGATGGGAGTTGAAGAACCAAGGCTTTGGAGTCAGGAAACCTGAATTTTCCCCTCCAAATTTATGAGCTCCAATTTTGTTGCACTAACTTTTCAGGCAAGGATCTGAGATAACAGTAGGGTGACTAACCATTCTGGTTTGCACAGGACTGAAGGGCATTTTAAAACCCAGTCCTAGACAAACTGGGATGAGTTGGTCATCTTAGAGCTTATGGTATAAAGGAGTCTCAGAATAGGGAAGGGGTTACAGTGCAAAAGTGCAAAATGCAAAAATGTACAGCATCCAACACATACTGCTCTGGGGAATAAACCATGACCCTCTGGTGTACAGCCGTATACCCTAACAATACTACAAATCTTATGTGTCTGGTTTCATGTTCTCAATTTGCTGCAAACTCCTTAGACTCCACAATGGGACATGTCTGTTTGGGCCATCATGAAGCAGGCAGGTAATCTCAATGGGGTCTGTGTGTGTCAGAAACAGATCTATCAACTAAGAAGCTGCCTGCCACATACTGGTTGCTCTGGGAGATACAGGAAAGTACCCGATGCCTGTCTCTGCTTTGGAGAGTAAGCCAAATTCAGCTTCTGCTCCTCCCCAGCTCGACAGACTCTTCTCCCCCAACCCTAGGCTCTTGGCCATTTGTTTAATGGAGAGAGAGCCTAGTGAAGGCAGTCTAATTCCCAAATTGAATCCTGGCCATCCTCTAACTAGTAGCATGATCCCGAGCAAGTGTTTTGGCTTTGCCAAGCCTGTGTATTCACCCTCCCAGATGGGGGATACTAGGTTTCCCTACATACAGGGAAAAATGAGAGCACAGCTGTTTGATCTTAGCAGGGGCACCAGCATCATGTTTCCAAACTGCAGATTACCCCACCTTTCTTCCCCTTTCCCACCCTGAGTGCTGAGGGATGAATGTGCTTCTTGTAGAAGGAAGCAGGATTCTGGGGTAGAGTGTGGTGAGAACAGCTAAAGGGCAGGCTGTGGGACCAAGGCAAGCTCTGGAATCACCTGGGGCTTTAACTTCCAGTAGGAACTGGAGAGCGGTGAATAATGGGGCTTTCCACAGTATCTGATAGGTTGCTGCAGAGAATCCTGTACCCTAGGCATTGATATCTCATGCTTCATGGCTCTCCCTCAAGCTGTCTTATTCTCCCACAAAACACAGCAGGTAGAGTTATCCCATTCAAATTAGATCAGGCCTCTCTCCAAACCCCGCAATGGCTTCTCAACTCACTCAAGGTCATAAAGCATTAGTCCCCACCCAACCCCACAAACCTCCCGCCAGAAACCCCACTCTTTCTACTCTGCCCTTTGTGTACTCCCTCTAGATGCTCTGGTCTCCTGGTTCTTCCTCAGACACATCAAATACTCTTCCCCTTCCTGGGCTTCGCAATAGTGTTCTTTTTGCTTGAAATGCTCTCCCGTACCAGCCATAGTACTCATGCTTCCGTTACTTCAGGAGGGATTTTTGAAGATTCAAAGGCCCTTCTCCAGGAGGCCTGCCGATGCCATCTTCTCTGAAGCCTTCTTCTGCTCCCTCATACCTCATTCCCCACTTTCCCCCTTTTCTCTCTAGCCCATATCATCTAGCCTATCACTGGTTTTACCTATTGGTCACCTGACTCCCACTTGAGAATGGAGGTTCCACGAAGGAATTCATTCGCTGCAGTATCCCCAAGGGCTGGCAACAGGGCCTGACTTCATGGGCTGTCAAAATGTGTTGAGTTGGTAGAGTGCTTGCCTTGCATGCACAAGACCCTGGGTTCAATCCCCAGCACCACACACACACACAGTGTTGAGTGAATGGGAGACTTGGGCATGTGTAAATGTCAACAGAAGAGGTCAGGGGAGATGGAATAATCGACAGGCTGTGTTAACTGAAGACCAGAGATGATGAGAACCTAAGCCTGGGGGATGCAGGGAACTGGTCCAAGCCAGGAGGGGACAGATGTGAAGGAAAGTTTGTAAGTGTGAACTGAGAGGTGGTAGTGGTGTGGAGGGGTCAACTTACTGGCTTCTATTTTCTGTGGAGGAGGAAGTGAGAATACAGAGATGGGGGAGAGAGGAGTCAGAGTCCTGCACAGAGGTGCAGAAAACCTAAAACTGTCATGGTGGGGAGCTGACCAGGGAAACTGCTGAGCAGCTCTGGGAGCCCAGGTGACTTAGTGAGTAGAATAATAATGGTATTCATGTGCTTCCTGGTGCTTTTCTCCAGCAGCGTCAGTGTTCAGGAGCAGGAAATGAAGGATTCATCCAGAGCTGAGGTTTTACCAGGCAGCTCTGATGAAGAGACAGGAAGGCCAGAGTTAAGGTTATTGGCAAGATTGTTGCTGAAATGCTGGACCAAAGCATCCATGCTGAATTTATAGGGAAGAGAAGAATGGACAAGACTGGGAGACTGAAAGAGAGAAAAGGCGGGGTCCTAAAAGATCTCTCCTGGGAGAAACTGCTAAGAGCAGGTTGCAGCAATTAAGAGTTCTGGGAGGAGGAACACTGACAAGATCCCAGGTGCATATGGAATAGGAGGTTGTGGTGGAGTGAGGGTCTTATGTCATAAGGGCTACCCTTGTGAGGCTTAGGATCAAAAGCAAGACCCAAGACACAGTCTTAAGAAATGCCTAAGTTAGGCTGGGGTTTTGGCTCAGCGGTAGAGCGCTCGCCTCGCACGTGCAAGACCCTGGGCTTGATCCTCAGCACCACATAAAAGTAAATAAGTGAAATAAAGGTATTGTGTCCAACTACAACTAAAAAATAATAAATATTTAAAAAAAGAAAAAAAATATGCCTAAGTTCTTAAGAAACAAGGGAGCCTGGCTGGAGGTCAGGAGATGACATATGAGAAAAGAGAAGAGATCAGTGGGTGACAAGAACCTTAAAGGAAAAAGGTTTTACAAGGTAATGCAAGAAAAGTGGTTTAGAAGCTGCAGGGAATAAGGGAGAACACATATGGGAATAGACCCTTCCACTGTGGATAGAGAACCCAAAATTTGGGCCCATCCCTGGATGGTACCCTGCTCTTGGCAGGCCAACAGCAGCGTCCACTTTTGGAATGAAAATCTACCCTCTGGGGTTGCCTGTTGAAAAGATACATCTCATAGTTCTGGCCAAGGAACAGGTGAATAATGGAGGGAAAGAGAAAGTGGAAACTGGTGCCCACATTTCCTTTCTTCTTGTCTTGGATACAGAAATGATATGTGGAGCTGAGGCACTCATATTATAGTCATGGGGCAAAAGTCAGTGCTGTTAAGTGTGGAGAAGGCAGGCAGAGAGGCCTGGGTCCCTGATGGAATACTGAGAAGCTAAACCTCTTGTAATATAAGAAAAATAATTCCCAATTTACTTAACTACATTATTTTGGGTCTATGTTTAATTATAGTTAGACACATTTCTAAACTATATAGGGACTTAGTGAATCTTTTACTTACAGAGGCCCGGAGGAAAGCGTTACTCAGCAAGGGGAGCTGCTGTCTCCTAAGCCAAACGGTAGGAGATAAGACCAATGTCCCAAGCCTGGCCCTTAGCCCAAGTTCTGCCAAGGAGGAACCATTTGACCAAGAAAAGGAAAAGCTTATCTGGCCAAGTCATTGAACCTGGCTCTGTAAGTCAAGTGCTCCCTCAAAAAGATCAGAACTGGCTCTGAATCATCGTGGTGGTCAGTAATGTAAGTTTATTTAACACTTCTATTGCCCTTTTTTGCCAGTCTCTGCATCTGCGAGAGCTACTCAAACTGCCTTAAACAAACTAATGGTTGGATTTGGTTAGTTTCTGCGGCTTCCCTGCAGTGCGGACAATAGAAAAGTGAGGTATGAAATGGGTGTCTCCATCCTTGTAAATGCAAAACTAAAAAGGACACAACAGTGATGGAGAAGCCAAATAAAGATTTAAAAATCAAAGCAGTTTTATCCCTAGGCCGCGCCCACACGGGCTCTCAGCACTTGTCACCACTGGCATCCTCTTACCCCGCCCGGGAGGGGCGGTCTGCATCTTCCAGGCAGGTGATGACCAGAACCGGTGCCAGATCCTCTGCCAGCCAGGGACCGGGACTCTGCAAGGTGCCCTGACCATCCAAGGCCCACACCCCACGCCAGCGCGCCTGGGCCCGGCCTCCACCTGCGCCGCGCGGGCCTGGCTGCCCGTCCGGTTCCCCCGGCCCCCTCCCGGTCGCAGCCCCCGCCCCGGCCCGCACTCACGCTCCACGTCGTGCAGCTTGGCCCGCTCCTCCTCCAGCTTGCCCTTGAGGCTCTCGGCCTCGCTTTTCAGCGACGCCAGCGTCTCGTTCTCCTGCAGCCCGTCGGTTGCCATCTTTGCGCGCGGACACGGCCGGGAGGGAATCGCCGAGCGGGGATGCGGTGAGCGGGCGGAGAGGCCGGGCGGGCGGGCGCGGAGCCGCGGCGGGCGCAGCTCCAGCCGCGGTGACCCCCGAGCGCCGCCCCGCGGCCCCGCCCTCCGGCGATGACGCGGGCAGCCGCGGGCCGGCTGCGGCGCAGACCCCCTCCCTCCACCCGCCTTGCCCGCGCCCCTCCGCAACCCCACACTTGTGCCCCGCGGGGTGCCGCGTTAGCGCTGCTGCGCCCACAGCACCCGGGAGAAGCGAGCTAGGGTCGTGCCCATCTTAGTGGCGGGGGGGGGGGGGGACTGAGGCTCAGAGATGAAACGTGACTTGCGGGAGACCTACGCGGGGTGAAAGGTCACGTTGGGGTTGTAACTCTGGACTCCCAGCTCCTGAGCGGGGCCTTGGTGAAGTCCCAGAAATACCGTCCTTTCCCTCCACCACTCCCAGGGACTTGATTCGCATCTGGTGGCTCCTGCTTGCAGAGAGGACAAAAAAGGAGAGGGCCAGGAGGCCTGGCCCACGCCTCTGATACTTGCTCTGACAATGGCTAATTCTGCAGCTTCCACCCCAACAAATCTTTTTTGTTGACTCAAATATACAAAAACATAACTAGTTCTGGCTGCTGAGAAGCTCAGTGGTCTCTGAGACATTAGGAGGCCACCCTTAGTTTTGCTTTTCCTTTCTTCATTGGGCAATCTGGCTCCTGTCCTGGGGGCCGCGGAAGGGGTGGTGTGGGTCAGAGGGCCTCTGTGCACAGGCTCAGCCACGGGGCTTCTAAGCTCCTGTTCAGCCATTTGGCTAAGGGTGACTTTTGAGAACTCTTCCTCACCCCTAGAATGAAGGGTTGCTACATTTTTCTTAAGAACTCGAATTAGTGTCTTAGGGACAACACATCACCCTCTCTCTCCCAGGCATACTTCGCTGTCCTAAGGGCTTTAATGAATAACTCGCTTGATGCTCCCAAGAGTCACCCTGAATGGGCACTATTATCTCCATTTTACAGATGTGGAAACTAGGCACAGAAAAGCTCAGTAATCACTCAGGGGTCACACTGCCAGAAAAAGGGAAAGGCAGGATTTGGACCCAGCTAGTTTGGCTACATCAACAAGCCTTTGGACTTGGGTGTGGACCATCCAGCCCAAGCCTCCTTTCTTCCCCTTCTCTGAGGCATTCTTAGGTGAAGAATGGGAAGGAAAATCAAGGTTATATATCCTGGAGAGGACAAATGGGGTGTGAAAACTCTTAGCAGGCTTCTCCATACATAGCAGATGATCATTAACTGCCAATTCCCTTCTCCCTGCCAATCAATATAGGTTTATTCATCATTTATCCTTAGCATTTAGCATAATACTGGCATATGGTTGGTATTCAGTTAATGCTAGTTTATCGAGTGGGTATATAAAACAATATATAAAATATAAATGTATATATATATATAAATTATGTCATTAAAATAAGTACATAAATTATGTAAATAGAGAAATGTTTTTATACTATTCAAGTATACATTTAAAATAAAAATAAAATGTGAAGGCAAACTATTACATCTGTTTTTGATCTGAAGTGCCACAAGATTAAAGGCTGGCTTAGGCTCTGTCTACATTGAACTTCCTGGGAGCAAGTGTTGGCTCTGAGATGTGGCCTGGAGCCATCTACTTCTCAGTCTCAGGCTCCTCTTCTGTAATGGGGTAGCACCTTCTTTAGACAATGTAGAGCATTCAGAGCAACAAGTGGCACACACCTTAATATTGTTGAAGCTGTTTGATACATTTGAATAATCCACAGGAAGTAACTTAAATGGGACAATAGATTATGGGGTGCACTTCCCACAGGGCTATCTCAGGAGGCCCTGGCAAGGAAGCATCGTTTCCTAGTATCCTTAGACTGATGCTTCTGAACCCACTCTGGGTTGTGTGTAGCCCAGGGTCTCCCTGCCTGTGGAGACTGTGGTGGGTGGCACTTGACACTGGTGTTCTCTGTAAAATAAACCCCAAATAACCTCCAGTCTGGAGAATCTACCATCTAGAGATGAAGTCATGATTGCAAAATGCCTTCCTGTACTTTGGTGTTAACTCCCTTTTAGAAGTGGGGAACCTGGAGATCAGAAAAGTTGGGGTCAGCTACATTTCAGCTGCGGTTGAGTTATAGAGTCACCCCTGTTCATGAAAAGGGTCCTTTGAGGGGCTATGTCTACATGATCTAGAACATCTGGATGAAAAGCCAACTGTCAGTCACTGGATGTCTCCTCAGCCATAGGAATATTTGGGAACCCCCAAGTGCTTGTGGTGGACATGGCTGGTGCTTGACCCCTGGAAGAGTCCTGGCAGGGCCTCTGAGCTGGGAAGAAACTCCCATGCAACAGAGGGATTCTGGGCTCCTCTGCCCACAGAGGAAGTTGTTTAAAACCAGAAGACTTAGATTAATCAACAGAAGGAGGGTAGCCCCCCCACCCCAAGCAGGTTTGTTTTAAGAACTGAATGCCTGCAGTTTTACAATTTGCAGAGCCAAGTTTAGAAAAAAAATGTACTACAGGTAGAGTCCCATTACATGGAGCCCCAAGAGACATCAGAATTACCATGTTGTACCAAAATCTTTTTATGTTTACTTGCCATTTGCTTTTTGGGAGTGATTTTTTCCCCATATTTTTTATTGGTGCATTATAGTTGTACATAATGGTAGGATCCATTTTTACATATTTGTACATGCACACGACAGCAGTTTAGCCATGTAATTTGGCCAATATCATTTCCTGTATCCCCCTCCGCTTTCTGTACTAATCTTTGGAAGTGAATTCTGAAATATTTATTTATTAATTGTAGTTGGACACAATACCTTTGTTTTATTTATTTATTTTTTTAATGTGGTGCTGAGGATTGAACCCAGGGCCTCACATGTGCTAGATGAGTGCTTTACCACTGAGCCACAACCCCAGCTGCCCCCCGCACCCCAAGTAAATTCTCTTTTCAACTGAGTAGAAGCCAGGCATGGTGGTGCATGCCTGCAATCCCAGCAGTTTATGAAATTGAGATAGGAGAATCATGAGTTCAAAGCCAGCCTCAGCAATGGAGAGTTGCTAAGCAACATGGTGAGACCCTGTCTCTAAATAAAATACAAAATAGGGCTGGGGATGGGGCTCAGTGGTCCAGGCCCCTGAGTTCAATCCCTGGTCAAAAAAACAAATTCTTCTATTCTATTCTATTTCCTCTGCCCTCCCCGCCACCCTCCCCTCCACATACATACATTTTTAAAAAATTGGTTGATATTGTGGGAATTTCCAGTTGGGGTTTTCTGGATGAGTGCTTTACCACTTTTCACCAGGTGGGGGCTGTGCTCAGCCACACTATTTAGCACAGTTTTGCAAATCCTCTGAGACATGACTAATGCCTAGAATTTTAGCCATGCTGTTGGACACGTTTACTGCAAGATCTGAAATGTGTGCGTTAACCACCTCTGGTGAGGACATGATTTTTGTATACTTTGAAAAACAGCTCACATATTTATTGAATGTTTTTTGTACTGGGGCTATTGAAACACCTTATTAAATGAATTCATTGGAGCTTCACAGATTCCGCCTGATGCAGATGATAATAATGTTCTTATTTTCCACATGGGAAAATGGGCTTCAGGAGAGTAATAAGAACTGGTGGCACCTCCACCTAGAACACAAGCAGGACTTGCACCTTATAGTCAAACACCAAAGTCAACACCCTGTGCCCCTGTACCACACTGCCTCACAAGCCTGGGCATGTGTTCTGTAAATTGATTCTATGGCAACTAATTTTTCACAGGACTGTCATTAAATATTGTTCTAAGACAGGTAATTCACAGTTAAAAAAATAGTAGCACTTACAAGTTCTACACATATTGAGCAGTAGCTGAGTTGTTGTGATTTCTTGAAAACTGTTCTCAGAGCTCTTTGTTTGAAACATTTGTCACAGGAGCCAAATACATTAACTAAGAAGGTCTGATCACACATCTTTCACCCAAGGTGTTGCTGAAAGGAAATAAGAAAGGGCAGGTATGAGAGAAAACCAGTGCTTTTAGATTTGTAGCACCTCTGCTTCCTTCTATGATGGTAGCTGCTTAGACCTATACATGTGGGATAAATCACAGCAGTTAATTTGTAACCTTTGATTTATTGCAATATACTGGGTCAACACCTGAGAAAGCACCAGGGGGTAGTGTTCTTTTTAAGTCAACATGTCTAACTGGTTGTTTTGGTGACTTGCGGAACCCTCTCAGTGGATCTTTGCAGCACAATATCAGTTCTGTGGGGTTTCAGGATGGAAAACATTGTTGTAATGAATACTAAATCTAAAATTTTAAAAACCATTCCTCCTCTCTGGGTGAACTTTTGGAGTAAAGACAAGAATCAGGAAATGGTGGAGTCTGATCCCAACCAAAAATATGAGGCCGAATTAGTGTGGAGTTGGTTCCCTGCAAAGCAGGCATCCCATTTATTAACAGGAAGTCAAACATCTAGGTCCTAATTTGCACTCAAAAGTCAAGGTGGGCCCAGGCCACCCAAGGGAGGGCATCCTTGGGGGAAATAACACCATCTAGTGGCTGAAGATACAGGTTCTGGCTGCCCAGATCCCAGCCCTCTGGTCAGGTGAGTTCCTTTACCTCTCTGAAGCTTTTATTTGCTAGTCTACCAAATAGAAATCTCAAAATCTTTCCTCATAGGATTGTTAGGTGAATTTTAAGATGCAATGCTTAAAGCACTATCTCAAGGTCAGAAATATAGGGGGTGCACCATTGACGTCATGCTAACCTGTGAGTGGTAGCAACAGTAACAGCAGCAGCTTTGTGGAAAAAAAATAATGCAAAGAAAAGAGCAAAAAGAGCCTATGGCAAGACTTGGTGAAGGCCCAGACCAAAGCAAGGCAGTGGGGTGGCCTTAGACCATGCTTAGAAAGGAGCAGGAGAGGGGGCTTGGCGGGAGAGAGGGAAGAAGAGAGGAGATATCTACAATATGGCCTAGGTTTCTTTTGGGAATTCTGAAGGACTGTGATGTATTGTTGGAAATAGGACAAGGCAGTTAAGTGGGGGAGTTTAGTAGGTGATCCAAAGAGGGTTAAGATTCAAAGAAATGACTCCTTGAACAGATATCTGGGGGCTCTGATCTGAGACTTTCTACACAGCCACACTTGAAAGGGATGTTTTTGTGGGGGAGACGACAATGGGTACACTTCTGAGGGAAATGTCTTGTAGAGGTCACCATGGGGCTGGAGAAGGAATGGGAGCTCATGAGTTGGGGGAACTTCCATAACAAAGGGGCAGGGAGGGGCACAGCACTTGAGCACTCTAGGTGACAGAGGAGTAAAGGGCAGTCCCTTAGAGAGCGAAATTACAAGGCAATCACTTACTGACTGCCACAGAGCACTTGGCCCTAGCCTCTCACAACTGCCCCAGGAGGGAGGGAGGCAGGACATCTGTGTCACAGCTAAGGAAATGTGGAGGGACTACACAATGAGGTCAGTGATGGAGCCTGAGCCTGGATGTAGTTTTACTGCAGAGCCAGTGTGATCAAGTTGTTTTGTTTTGTCGTGAAAGGAGAGTTTGCCCATCCTGGGGCTCAGTAAACATCGTCTCCCACTCCCCTACCCTGCAAAGGCTGCCGGTTTTAATGTCAGGCTGAGGACACCCAGTAATAGCATTAGAACAGGCTTTAAGCAGGAGAGCAACATCATTCCAGTGGATTATTCCAGCATTTGTGCTTGCAGAAGTAGGTCAGAGTGAAATGGACAGCAGGGCAGCCAACAAGGTTAGGAGATTATTTCCATGTTACAAAGGAGAGGAAATGAACGTTGGGCAGAGCAGTAGCTACAGGAATGGAAGGCAAGAGCAGCCCAAGGGACTTGAAAGAGGGAAGAGGAAGTGATGGGAGATTAGGAAAATAGAAGCAGAAAAAATCGCCAATGTTCTTATTGTGGGTAGAGACAACATTTTTCTTCTCTATGAATTTTAATTTTCTTCTCTATGAATTTTAATTTTTTTCAAATTATAAAAACTACTTATAATATTCATTACAAATAATTAGGAAACTATTTACCTATATGGCCTACACCAGCAACTGACCTGTTAACACTTTGTTTTCTTCTAGTATCTTTATAAGCATATATGTGTACACTCCTTATATACTATTTTGAACTTCTAGATTTTGCTTAATATGTGTTTTCATCTTTGCATGTTATTCTTTCTTTCTTTGGTCCTAGGGATCAAACTGAGGGCTTTTGGTGTGCTAGGCAAGCACTCTACCACTGAGCTACACCCCCAGTCTGGGAACACCAGTTTTTAATGGAGATCTTAAGTTTTGAGTCATTTCAGTCTTAAGTCATGTCTCATAGCTAGAATTCTAGGCCTGGGTGGTTAAAAAGGGGAATACTATAAAACAAATCCAAAGTGTTTTTAAACTACATATGTTACTCGTGTTCACTGTAAAAAGTCTGAAAAAAACTCAAAAAGGTTTAAGGAATTAATTACTTATAATCCTCACTACCAGAGGGGCTCCTTTTCATATTTTGATATATATGAGGTAGATGTTTAAGATCATTGGGGGTCATACTGTTTATGTATATTGTTTCTATTTCTATATCCTGATATTTTCATTTGGTATTTGTCATGAGCCATGTTTCATTTTAGTATGTTTCATTATACATATTGTCAATAATCCTTTTTAGGATGAGGGAATTTTTCACAACTAGGGCAAATACCTCAAAGAATATTTTGACAAAAAAAAGTAAAAAATGCTCCCATTTTCACTGAACTTAACTCTGTTAATACTTATAGATTTACCTTTTTTGGCAATAGCTTCAGTATTATTCTATACTATGGAGTGTCACAGTTTATTAAACCATCCTCCTATTGTTGGAGACATAGGGTATATTTCGGTTTTTACTTTAAATGTAGTACTCCATTAACTCAATTAAAAATGGGCCAAGGACCCCTCCTGCACTGCTGGTAATAATGTAAAGTGGGGTAGCCATTCTATAATAGTGCAACTGTGGAAAAAAAAATTGTTATTACTCAGAAAGTTAAATATAGAATTGCTACTATATGGCCCAGCAGCCCAATTCTAGGTATATACCCAAGATAAGTTGGGAGAATTATTACTAGCTAAAAAGTAGAAATTACTCAAATATCCACCAGCTAAAGAATGGATAAATATGTAGTATATCCATATAGCAGATTGTTATTTAGCAATAAAGAAGAATGAAATCTGGTGTGACATTGATGAATGTGGAAAATATTATTTTGTGGGAACTGTCTGAAAAAAGACCACATAAGATCCCGTTTATATGAAAGGTCCAGGATAGGCAAAGCCATAGAGACAGAGAATAGCTTAGCGGTTGTTGAGGGCAGGGGAGGGAGGGGTGGAACTGGGAGTAACTTGCTTGATGGCTATGCAGTTTCTTTTTGAGGTGATGGAAGTGCTCTGGAATCAGTGGTGAAGATTGCACATCCTTGTACATATGCTGAACACCACTGAATCTTTTTAAAATGGTGAGTTTTAAGTCATGTGTTTATATCTCAATACAAATTATTTTAAAAATGGGCAAAAGACTTGAACAGGCACTCCTCCAATAGTCAAAAATATAAAAATGTGCTGGACATCATTGGTCATCAAAGAAATGCAAATTAAAACCACAGTGTGATACTACTGCTTACATATTGGAATACTTAAAATAAAAAATATGGCCATATAGAGTAGCGGTAAGAATGTGAGGAATTTAACTGTCTTTCCTTGCTGGTGGGAATGCAAACTGGTACAATTACTTTAAAAACTGGTTGGTTGGACCTACTAGTGTAAACATGCATATAGTCTGTGATTCAGCAGTTCTACTCTTGGGTATGTAGTCAACAGAAATGAATACTTATTTCCTTAAGAAAATATGAATAAGAATGCTCTAATACCTTTATTCATACAAGTCCCAAGCTAGGAAAATTAAAATGTTCACCAGTGGTAGGCCAGAAAAATAGTGATCTGTTCAGACAACAAAAAAATGAATAAACTGTTGATACATGCAACAACGTGGATGTATCTCGCAGGCTCCCTACAGCTATAACACGTTCAGTGTCAAAAACCTTCTATCATATACCACAATTTCTTTATCCATTCATCTGTTGTTGCACACCTAGGTTGGTTCCATAGCTAAGCTATTGCAAATTGTGCTTCTATAAATATTGATGTGGCTGCATCATTGTAGTATGCTGATTTTAAATCCTTTGGATATATGCTGAGGAGTGGGATAACCAGGTCAAATAGGGATTCCATTCCTAATTTCAGAGGGATTGCACCAATTTGCAGTTCCACCAATAATGTATGAATTCATGCAACTTGAAGAAAATGAGAATATACAACAACAAATAAACTATAACCCAGGTTCCCACTATATAGGAAGCCCCTGGGAACCTTGGTCTGTATGCACCTGGACACCCTGCTTAGCTTTTAAGAAAACCTGAGTACATTCACCCGTGCTTACCTTCCACAGAGTCACACTTGGAACCGACCAGCCAACAACCAACTGACCAACTAGGCAGGAAGGTGAGAAGTTTCTGCTGCAGTGTGAAGGTGTGAAAGCCACTGGCCCCTAATCTCCTTATGTAGGTATTACGCTCAGGCTTCTTGTTCCTCTCCACCTGCATGACCATGCTCACTCTTGGGCATTCACTTACCCCTTGAACCTCCTGGCCATTCACATGGCTAGGATCTCAGTTAATCCCTGAGGACCACTTCATGGGCCCAATTCTTTGCCCTCTGTAGGATGCAAACTTTGGCATGTTTGATCCCATGAATCTGCATCCACTCCACTGAGCAACCCTGGGACTGCATGTGGTCAGCATCTCTCAGTGTTGCCCCCACCCCCTTCAGCTGTTCAGAACTGATCAAGATTATATGGTGAGTGCTTTCCCCCTCCCCTTCTGTACCAGTAAACTCATGGGCCTCTACAGGTCTCCTTGTCTCCAAGCAAGATCTGTTCTTTCTCATGACTGACTGCTCTCCCACACTTTGGATCCCTGCCACCTCCAAAAGGACTTTACTCCTTCAGTTCTCTCCCATCTCACAAGCATGAAGATAAATGTGGGGTGGATGGGGTATGACCTCCAGTGGCCCACAGGACAACAGAAAAAAAATGGTTAATGTTATTGGTTTACAGCCCAGAATAAGCACTAACACATAGGCATGAATCCTGAGGTGGGAGACAGAAAGGGAGAGTGTGGGAAGGTCTAGACAGGGCACCAAGGCTCAGAAACTGAGACGATTCCCTGCCCAATAGCCCCTCTTTTTGATGCACTCTCAGAGCCCCATGGAGACACAGCCAGAGCCAGTTAGGATGTTTACTTCTTCTCTGAATATTTCATATACTTTAAATGAGATATTTTGAATCTATAAAGATTCTAGTATCTTTCTTACAACCCCTAAAGAAGGACATAAAACTTGTGCACTGAAGACTTATAATCTAGCAACTATAAGAATCTGACCCAATTCATCTTGTAATTTATTTTATTGAAGTATTATAAAGTTCCATTTCTCATTGTTTTATATACAATGTATTGAAGTGAACTAAAGTAAATCATTTATAATTTGAAAAGACATTAGTACATAGTAGGGTGGCATTGCTTCATCATTATGTGTTATTCCCACTCCTGAGATGTACGTCTCTAGTGCAGAATCACAGTTTTGCCTGAGACCTTGTCAGAGGCACAAGGGGGTCTGGGATTCCTCGGGTGTATAAGAAAGTGGTAGATCCACAGGTCACAGGTCAGGAGTATACATCAAAGGAAACTTTATGATCTGAAGGGAAGGAATGAGAAGGTTTGGGGCATAAGAAATAGCCAGTTTCCATAAAATCTGGGAAACAGATTTCTCAAAAGGGAAAACTGACACAAATCTTCAGTTACTTTTATTTACTCGTTGGTACCAGGGATTGAATCCAGGGGCCCTTAACCACTGAGCAATGTCCTCAGCCCTTTTTTCATTTTGAGACAGGCTCCTGCTAAGTTGCTTAGGGCCTTGCTAAATTGCTGAAGGAGGCTTTGAATTTTCAATCCTCCTGCCTCAGCCTCCCAAACTGTTGGGGTGACAGGCCTCTGCCACTGCACCTGGCGTCTTCAGTTACTTTTAGTAAAAAATTTAAAAATATATTGGGGTGCTGATTAGGTACAGAAAAACACTTAGGTTGCCTTTTTTAAACTTAGTTTTAAAAGTTATTGTATAAAAATATTAAACCATGAAAAAGTATGGCAAATATGTTGGCAGATACAATTTAAAGAAATATTCTTTCAGAGAATATGGTAATTGGCACAGCAACTAAGTCTTGATAATATATTTGTTTTAAATAGATTATATATAAAATACTTCTTATGATTAATTTGAGATTGAGTATTCTCTGAAAAATTAGAGGAGTCTGAAATAAGAAAAAAAAATATATATATATATTTATGCTGAGCTGTTTTTAGTAAAACTTAAAAAAAAAAAAGTCATTGAAATCCCTCCCCTCCCAGTAGGCATAGGGAAAGGGGACTTCGGGTGGGTCTGGTGGCCAAATAAGACTATTTCTTGGAAGACACAGCCATAGAACCAATTTGTGGCTTCATAAATGTCCCTGAGCTTCACAGGAAACTCAAAAACGTTAGAAACCACTGGTCCCCAGATCTCATTGCCTAGTGTGGAGCCCTGTCATAAGACAGATTAGATCAAAGGCATCTAGAAGAAAATATGATCCTTCCAGGGATTCCAGTAAAAGCCAACTGAGATTCTGAAGTGAGATAGGGCCTTTCCAACCACAGCTGGCACATGTGGATTCTTACAAAATGACAGCAGCAGCAGCACCACCACCACCACTGTGAGACAGAGATGTGGCCAGTTGGGAAGAACTTTCTTTTCTTCCTGAAATCACATTCCAAAGCATTTCCAGTTTCAGGGAATAAACCGTGTTCTTCATCTGTGACTTCACTCAGGCTTGGAGGAACCAGTGCATTGACCTTTTCTCCTGCTATAATCTATTGAGAAAGCCTAGCTTGAAACTGCTGGGGATCTGAATCATTTCCAGAGCATGTGGAGAGGCAGTAAAAGGAAATGTGACTTGAAAGAGGTATTTGGTATCTAACATCAGCTGTGATGAATCCTCCCGGCTATTCAGAAGTGCCTGAAATCAGAACCAGAAGAAAAGTGAGTATGGAAACCAGCGCATTCAGCTTCATTGCTACCTGGAGGTCAAGAGCAGAGAAAACCCAACAGCTGCAGCTTCAACGGAGAACTCCTGTCCATATCCTGTCATCTCACACTGTTCAGCACCTCAGCTCTGAGACACAAGGTCTGTCCAGCTCTCATGAATCCTTTTGTTCCAGAAGTGAATTTCCCAGAGGATGGGCTGACTGTAAATCTGTTTTCTATTCTTACGTATTCTCATGGCATAATTCTAAGTGCAAACTTTGGGTCTTATGGCTGCTTTATATTCTTAAAAATTATGAGGACTTCTCACACCAGTCAGAATGGCAGTCATCAACAAATTCTGAAGAGGATGTGGAGAAAAGGAACACTTACACTGTTGATGGGATTGTAAATTAGTACAACCACTATGGAAATCAGCATGGAGGTTCTTCAAAAGACTAGGCAGGAACCACCATATGACCTAGCAATACCACTCCTTGATATTTATCCTAAATAATTAAAGTCATCATTGTACGGTGATATACGTATACCCATGTTTATAGCAGCACAGTTTGAAATAGTCAAACTATGGAACCAGTCTAGGTGTCCATCAATGGATGAGCAGATAAAGAAAATGTGGTATATACACAATGGAGTTTTATTCGGCCATAAAGAAAAATGAAGTCATGACATTTGAAGGAAAATGATGGAACTAGATAACATTATGTTAAATGAAAAATCAGAAGGTCAAATGTCACGTTTTCTCTTACATGCAGAAATTAGAGAGGAAAAAGAAAAGAAAGGAGGGGGCAGATCTCATGAAAACCCATAGGGAGATCAGTAGAGGAATGGGACCCAGGAGTGGGAGGTGGGAAGGGAAGGAAGAAGTTCTGAGGAGTGATATTGGCCAAATTATATTGTTACAATATTGGCATGTATAGATTTGTAGTAACAGATCACATCATTATGTACAATTATAATGTACCAATAAACAATGTGGAAAAAATTTATGAGGACTCCAAAGAGCTTTTATGTATGTGGCTGTAATTATTGACATTTATTGTATCAATAATTAAAGTAACAATTTAAAATATTCACTAATTCATTGGGATAATAATAAATCCAGTACATGTTACACATAACATTTTCAATGAAAAAGAACTAATTTTCAAAAAAAAAAGACTTAGAAGTGATATTTCCTATTTCTATAAATCTCTTTAATGTCTGATTTAATATAAGACACATGACGTAAGATATTATATCTGCTTATGCACTCGATCTGTTGTGAGATGTTATTTTGGTTGAAGTAGATGAGAAAAATCCTGCCTCATCCAGGTTATGTCTTTGGGAAAAGGAAGGATTTTGCAGACCTAGGAAGCAGTCTCAAGGACCCCTCCCCCCACCCCAGAACCTTCAAACCAAACTTGGGGAACTGCTGTCCTAGTTCACTGGGGAAAGAAACTTTAGGGATTACATAAGAAAACCAGATATGCAGGTCCCTGTTTCTATTCAGCTGTGCCCATCTGTGCTGTATTTCAAGACCAATCAGAAACAAGATGGGCTGAAAGATCAATCACAGCAGCTGAGACCCAGTTTGAGTGTTTTCATTCCCTTCCCACCAGGACTAAAATGGATTCTGAAAGCTGGGAACATTTCTATTGCCTTTGAGCTGGGTGTCTTTCATTTGCACGTATGGTAAAATGCACTTTAACCTTGGATTTCAAATTAATTATGTATCAGTGGCTTATATCATCCTTAACAGGTAAAATTAAAAGGCACATCCTGAAGAATCTCACCTGTACTTTTCGAACAAAGGATGGAGTCACTCTTTTCTCGAAGTCATCTATAGGTGTGTATGAATTAAGGATCTTTATGATCTGCAAATATCACATAACATGGTATTAGACCACGAAAGACAACACTCTGATCATGTAATAACAGTCATGGAATTTTGAGAACCACAGTTCGTTCTTTTATACTGTCATTTGGCTCAGGAATCATGTTTTCTATTTCCAAGAAAAGAGAAAACAAGGGGAGAAGGGTGTAGAAGACAAGCAAATACAAATAACATAATTAGATGACAGTAAAGGAACCCCCCTTTCCAACTTCCCTGCCTCCCATGTGAGCACCCTTCACACATGCACATGTATGAGTTTAATGGCCAGAGAGATATCACATACGTGTTTGTGTTTTGAGGCTTAGAGTTAGAATCTAATATATATTTAGTAGGCAAAAGGGTGGGCCCTGGGAGACAAGTGTGCTCTGTGAACACAAAGTCCAGCGCAACCCGGCTGACTGAGCCAGGAAAAGCCATGGCAATCCATGATCTGTCCTAGAAGATCCAGGGAGGCACTAGGGAAGGCTGGTCACCTGCACAGCTGACAATGAGGTGCAGCGTTCGTAGATCTCCTTGGCATCGCTGTCTGTGGTCTTCTTGACCTGGAGCAACCAGGCTGCCTGAGAGAGGGGCTCCAAAGTTTCCTTGGCTAAGCTGTTCTGCAAATTCTTATCTTTAAGCCATTCTTCTAAGTAGCTGATGTTACACCTGGAGTGAAAGGCAGAGGAGCACAGAACACTTCAGGGAAGATGCCAAATCCCCCAGTGTGTCCCACACAGTTTACAGAGATCTTAGGAGCTGGGTGCAGCAGTCTCATCTCTAACAGGAGGGGATGGATGAGATGACCAGCTTTCTGGATCCATGGTTCTAAGGGTCATGTTGGTCTGAAGTAAGGAGCTGGAATAGCTATGCACTTGAGGGAAATCTGAGTAAAGAAAAATGACTACAGTAATTTTCAAAGTTCAGTTTTGAAAAATCTATAAAAGGACCAAAACAGTAATATTTGAAGAGAAGATTTCTGTAGGATAAAACATTGATTTCTTTTCCTGAATTGGCAGAAATGTTTCATTTGGTTGGAAACTGCTTTCGGTCAACTGGGTTTTCATTCTTGTTTCTGTCGCTAATTATTACAGGTTTACGAGTTAAGAGGCACTGATTTTAGCGCCACCAATCACTGTTGAGCTTAGGAATTCATCAGCTTCTCTGGATATGATGAAAGTGTGGAGAACATTCATACATTGCAAACACATTGCTAATGGGAAGGTAAAATCACACAACTGCTGGGAAAGTAATCTTGTAGTTTCTAGAAATTAAACATATAGTTACTGTATGACCCAGTGCTACAGTTTGGATCTTGGATGTCCCCCAAAGACCCATGGTCCCTAACAGGTGGTGCTACTGGAAGGTGGTGAGACCTTTAAGAGGTGGGACCTAATGAGAGGAAATTGGGTCACTGGGGGCATGCTCCTGAAGGGGATCCTGGGATCCCGGCCCTTTCTCTTCCTCTCTTTTTGTTTCCTGGCCATCATGCACTCTCTACCATGATATACTGCCTTGCCACAGGCCCAAAAGCAATAGATTTCTCTATCTGTAGACTGAAACCTCAACCATTCTGAGCCAAAATACAACTTTGCTCTTTATAAGTTGATTACCACAGGTATTTTGTTATGTTTTTTGACAAAAAGCTAACATACCAGTGATTCTAATAATAGATATATACTCAAGAGGACTAAAAATATGTCCATATAAAAAACTGTACAACAAATATTTTAGGTCCATCAAATGGACCTAAAATTGTGAAAACAACCCAAATGTCATCTATCAACTGATGAGTGGGTAAGCAAATCGTAGCATATACAATACAATGAGATATTTTTCAACAAGAAAAAAATATTAGGAGTTGATATCTGCTCCATGGAAGAAATTCCTCTTAAGTGAAGGAAGCCAAACACAAAGACAGCATATTTTATGATTCTGTTGATTTAAAAATGTTTAAAAATACACAAAATATGTAGTGAAAGAGAATATATAAGTGGTTGCCCAGGTTGGTGAGAGTATGTTGGGGTGGGGTGGAGTGTGGGTGGGGGAAAAGAGTAGCTGCTAATGTGTATAAGATTTCTTTTTGGGGTTGATGAAAAGATTCTAAATCACATTGTGGTGATGCTTACTCAAACCGCTGAACTATTTGCACTTTAACTTGGAAGAGCACTACGATATGTAATATCAATGAAACTGTTAATAAAAAGTTTGAGTATTAGACATCAATTAGGTGATCCTGAAGGTCGATCTCAGTTGATCATTGAAGTTATCTCCAAGGTCAGTTCCAGCTGTGGCCTTCCAGATTGGCAACTCCCCATGTGGGTCTTCTCTCTAATTATGAACTGGGGCAGTAATGCTGACTTATGTGCTCCATAGGGACGGAATGAGTACATTGGTCTCCTTTGTTGCATTGTTGCAAAGAACTAGTTTGAGTTCTTATGACTTGCAGTTTTTATTGCAACAGATTCTTAATGGACTTCCCATCTCACCCCTTCCAATCCACCCTATTCAATCCTGCCGTAATCCTTTCTAATTCTGAACTCAGCATGCTAATCCTCCCATCTGTGAATGTGTATGCGGTTCTGGTTCTTGGGGAGAGAGAATAAGCATATTCCATCTTCTCTCTCCCACTGAATGGGGTATAAAACCTGGACAGACTGCATGGAGCAGCTGTCTAAGGTCTCTGAAAGGTAAAAAGTAGCAGGTGTATTGAGGAAGATGACCAAAGTTTAAAACACTTCCAAATTGACAGTGAGTTTACCAATTTCTCTCCCATTCACTGGCTTGAACTCAATGCAGCCTGAAACTCAAAAGTGGGATTAAGGCTGGGGTTGTAGCCCAGTGGTAGAACACTTGCCTAGCATGCCTGAGGCACAGGGTTCAATTCTCAGCATGGCATATAATAACTAAAATAAAGATCCATTGACAATTAAAAAAATAAAAAAAAGTGGGCATTAACAATAGGGGACCCCTGGTTCTGGCTGAAGAGCTAAAAAGGAATTCCCAAGGCTGAGAGAGGGAGGGTGGAAATATCCTGCTTTTATATTTAGTTCATCACCATCATCA